GACCCGGTCTAAAAAAAAAAAAAATGAATGGAGGAAATTTTCAGTAGGATGTCATAAAGGAGCTATAAGGCAGAAAGGAGTGTAAGTTGAAAACAGTGACTTGGAAACTAAAATCTCACATTACTATTATTTACTTCAAAAAACACTCTTTCATAAGCCAATAACATTTGTAAAATTTTTCAATGACACTGGAAAATACTTAACAAATTTTCCCTCCTCTATTACCATTTATGTTGCTATGGGATATAATTTGTGCTACCAAAACCTTTATACTGATATACTGTAATAGAATCATTTTGTATCATATTGCTAGCTGGTGATATTATGTATCACTTACCATTTGGAGCCTTAATTTTTGTTGTCTTTTTCATAAGGTAAAATTTTTAGACTGCCTCAATAAAACTGTTCATCCTGGCTGCCTGTGTGCTGAGACCCTATCAATAGCAGTGGAAACACACATGGATGCAGGCTTTACTAGTTTAGATCTGACACATCCACATCAATAGTACAACTGGAATTCTCAAACAGGAGCCCAAAACAGAATCTTAGATAACCATGAGGTCCCTGTCTGCCTCTGCATCTTGTTCCAATTAAAAGAGAGGGTGGGTTGGGTTCATTTTTTCTTAAAGATACTTGGGAACTGATAGGTTTCTTCACATATATAACCCTGTGACCTGATTAGTATCTGCACATGCCCATGGTTGTCCTTATTTAACTCCTACTCCATTCTAGCCTGTACCTTATCTCCAACACCTTTTGGCACACTGAATATAATCTTTATAAGCCCCACTGATCTCCAGAGTACATTAATGAGAATCCTAGGACCTTTCATTAGTTCTAAGCTTGGATTCACAAGCTATGTGAAGAAGATAGGCAAAATATCCAGAGGTGGAAGCTAATCAGTTGAATGATCAGCACTCACTACTTCACGACATTTATCTCAACTATAATAGCATTTGTTTAAGTCTATCTTGTCCTGTAAGCTCAAAGAAGGCAGGAATCATGTCTGTCTTATTTATCACTGAATTACCATAATGGATCAGCACTATACACTACTGTCCTCGGTACTATGGCTGCATCAGTTAATAAGATAGACAAAATCTTTTGTCTCTTTTGGAGCTAACCTTCTAGCAGTCACTTACTTAGTCCTAGGATGAGATGTTAGAATCTAGCATCTGAAAAATATCTGTAGATGATTGTCAATTCAATTAAGAAATCTTTTCTTAAATCAGAAGTTTGACAAATTTGAAAAGTCACTAGTTTCAACCTTTAAGAATATATATTTTAAGCTTATTTATATGAAATGTCCAGAATAGCAAACCTTTAGAGACAGAAAGTAAGATCACTGTTTGCCTAAGGAGATACAAAGCTGATCGGTGTTTCCTTGAAGAAGGGAATAGGGAGTAATTGCTAATGGTAATAGGGTTTTTCTTAGGCTGGGGATCTAGCTTAGGGGTGCAGCCACTTGCCTTGCAAAAAGTACAAAAAGGGGGGGGTTCTTTTTAAGGTGGTGATAATGTTCTAAAATTGATTGCAGTGATGATTGCACAACTATAAGTATACTGAAAACCACTGGATTGTATAAGTAAATGAATAAACTATATGGCATATGAATTATTTCTCTAAAAAGTAAAAAGTCATTATATTTTAAAAAGTAGGACTTGCATGTACAAAGACCTGAGTTCAATTCCTGGTACATAAAAAAAAAAAAGCAGGAGAGAAATAAGAACATTCTAACCTAATGGTCTCCATTTCCTTGGAGAGTTTGAGAAAGTTTAAAGGAAAAGCTGAAGAATAAATAAAGCCAATTACAGAGAGAAACAGTGATTCCATGGGGATAACCTCTATAGACAATTTTCATGAAGGAACTGAAAGCCAAGGGCTGGGGACACAGCTCAGTGTTAAAAATGCTTGCCTAGCATGTGTGACACCCTAGGTTGAATTCCCAGCACTAAAAAAGAAACAAAGTAAAGAAAAAGGAATAGAAAGCCATGGGGTGGACTCCAGGATCAAGGCTGGCAGGGCAGGTACAATAGAAGGACAAGGGGCAAGAAGTATGCCTGTTAATTTCTCATAAAACAATAGTTTGCTGAGGTATTTTTATTCAGTTTTTGTATGCATATAAATTATTTTTTATTTTCCGTAGGAGCAGCAGGTCCAGAGTGTCAGATACAAGCTCTTAAGTTTCTATGATGCAGTTGTATACACATGCTGTTCAAAATAAGAAACTTAAAATACAAAATAATAGCTCTCAGGGTTAATAAATGAAGTATCTACTGAGTATTTATTATATAACTAGGCATTATACTGTGCCTTACAATCATTTTTTATTTAACTGAAATAGTCTCATAATGTAAGAACTATTATTATCCCTGTGCTACAAAAAAGAAAAAAGAGACTAAGAAACATTGAGTAATCTGTCCAAGGCCATTTAGGAAGTAAGGAGAGAGGTCATGATTCTAGAACAGGTCTGTCAGATTCCCCAGTACCTAAGCTCTTAACAAATCAACTGCCTTTGAAACATTAAAAAAATAACTTTTATAATGCCTAATGTTGAAAAGGGGGGGTTAATAATAACCGAATTATTCCAAGGTGGTAATAAATAGCAATTAATAATGCAGTATCTAGGATTTGGCAAAATTTGCACTGAAATATAGTTAATGGATTTATCTCTCAGTAAAACCATACAAAAAATTTTCAAAATCAAATATGCAATTTTTAATCTTTTGTATTGCTTGGATGATTAATTTACAGGAGTTTAAGGCACAGAGATTATATAAAAAGCAGTAAGAGCTCATTTTAGCATTGAGGAAAACAAAGATGTTACATTAAGCTACTTTACTTTAAAAACCCACCAGTTTGGGATGTGGGTGAATGAGTTTTTTCTTGAGTCTCCTCGACATCCATTGGATCTATTGAAAAAATAAAATAGAAATACACAAGTCACAGTAACAGTCTTTGAAAGAGTGCTTCAAGAAAAAGAAACTAAAACTCATTAATTGACCAGCTTTAATTTTATGATTAATATCTCCATTTTTTACATATGTCTTAAATACAGTGGACCCTCAAGTTATGACCAGCCTGACATAGGAACTTGGGTTAATCAGGTAAATGGAAGATTCATCTGCCTCTTGTTATCTATAGCATGTACCCAAGTAAGCATCCAGATCTCAGCTATGCTGGCTTAAAACCAACTTGAGTTACAACCAGCCCACAGGAACCAATTGAGTTCGTAAGTCAAGGGTCCACTGTACTTTCTAATATACTATGCAGTTTATAATTAGCTCATTTCTTGTTTACTATATATCTCATTCTATTCAAATGAAAGTTTTATAAGGGCAAGTATTTATTTTTGTCTGTCTCATTCACTGCAGTACCCTCAGTTCCTAAAATAGGACCTGATATATAGAACACTCACAAGCATTTGTTAAATAAATGCATTGATAAATCAAAATGAGCTGATCCTTACAATGCCTAAATTAACATGTCCTAGAAATAAAATGGATGCTTGTGATGTTCAACATGTAAAAGAGAAACCAGAACACAGTGAAATTCAATGAACTGAGCAGTATTTCCTCTGTGCTAAGCTACTACTGAACTCAATAGACCTGTGAGACTGCATCAAATCTAAGACACATCATTTTATCTATATATATTATAGTATGCATCTTTGATAGGATTTGTCTTTAAAAATTTAAGCATAACACTGTTAATTAAGCTTGAAAGTTAATCACAATTCCTTAATATCATCAAATATCCAGTCACTTTATTTCATCAGTTGTCTTAATTATCCTAAGTGTGTATGCTTGAACCAGATCTCAAATAAAATATGTAGATATGTGTCAAAGTATTTTGTGATATATAGATTTCTCTCTTTCTCTTGTAATTATTTTGCTGATAATACCAACTGGCTAGTATTTATAGTTTTCCAGTGTAGATTTTTTTTTTTGTACCAAGGATTGAACTCAGGACCTTGTGCTTGTGAATCAGGCACAGCACCACTGAGCCAAATACCCAGACCTTCAGTCTGGATTTTGCTGACTCCTTTCCTATTGAGTTGGGTTCTTCTGGCCCTCACATTTTGTCTAAATTAATATTAGTATTTCAATCCACAAAAGCATCCCCCCCACACCTCTGATCAAAAAGAGTTTAATCAGATTCAGAGTTTGTCTTGGGTGGGGGGGTGACTAGAGGAAAAGTTGACTTCAGCAGTGGTGTTGTATACTTATCACAAGAGGCTCCTGATATATAATTATCTCTCTCTGTCTTTGTGATGTGAACAGCTGTGATAGCTATTGCCTAGATCCATAGTTGATTACTGGTTGTAAAATGGAGATAGATACTTTGTCATTCACTCTCCAGAAAATTTCTTTAGAGAAAAATTTCCTTCCTTCAACCACACAGTTATCCTAAAGTACAGATTACACATGAAATCACCATTATTCTTTCATTCTCTAGTTTTCAAAGTGAGTTGGATCTTTGGTATTCTCCAGAGATGACCAACAGGTTTTATTTGTGAGGTTGTTTTTAGTACTATTATGAAATCATGGATTCAAACATACTCAATATGCTTCTAACCATCTTGTTTCAGCCTTATGAATACCCTCATTGTCAAATAAGTTTCTTTAAAAGGATCTAAAAATGATGCCTCTCAGGGTAATAGATCTACTTACTGGTTATGGCTAAGGGATTCTTCAAGCTATGTGAACACTTGAGATGAATATATGTATGGGCTGCTTCCTATTTAAATTATCTGACTTGTAAAAAGAAAAAACACATTTACTGAATAGTTATACAATGAGATTTTTCTAAGAAGAAAGTGAAACTGTAAAGGCATGGCTCCTGTTCTAGGAAACCCAATCATCTAGTTATAGAGCCTACAATACACTAAATGCACTTAACAAAATTAGAAAACAACATTTAGTGCTCAGTATTTTAGCCAGAAAAATTCATGAGAGATATAAGACTTGAAGGAAGAATAGGATTTAAAAAGGCAAATATGTGAAGAATGTTTTAATGAGGGAAAATATAACGCAAAACAAAATGAAAGTGAATGTTACACATCTATGAAACAATAAAGAGACTTCTCACTACAGCAAGACAGAACTAAGCATTTTTAAATCACTCATACTTGAGTTAGAAGATCTGGATTCTAATTTTGGCTTTGTCAGATTACTGTATGACCTATTCACTTAACCTCCTTGAATTTCAGTTTTCTTATTTATAAAGCTAAGACAGAAGACATTACTACTTATAATACCTATTAAGTTCTAAAATTCTAATTCTAAGCACCTAATATCTATTTTTAAGAAGCCTTTACTTCACCTTTTGTTCAGTGCTGAAGCTCAAACCAGGGCCATGAACATGCCAGGGAAGCAGTCTACCACACATCTATATCCTCACTCCAAAAAGGTTTTACTTCAAAAGTTCAGTTTGCCCTAAGATATTCATCCCAAACAAATAAATAAAAATGTTCTCATCTTTAAACAAGTAAATCTTACCGTTGTTTTCTGTTTGTCTCATGGTATCCCGTTCTGGCATTCTTTCCTACAAGGACAAAAGCCAGTTAATAACCTCTGTAGCATAATATACTTCTAAAGGGTATTATTATTAGCAGTTAACAGAATCAGATCTTTTTGGGCTCTCTCCTTTGAATAAAGGAATAGCAATTAAGTAACTGGGTGAGGGAAGAGGGAATGAGGAATAACTGAAATGACGTGGTTATGAATATGAGGTTTCCTTTGTGTAGTGCTGAAAATGTTCTAATATTAGCGGTGATATCTGTGCAACCTTGTGAATATACTAAGAACTACTGAATTGTACATTCTAAAAGGGTGAATTTTATGGTATGTAAATTATATCTCAATTTTTTAAAAAATCCAGTGAGCAAAACAGAGCAGATGGTAGGTTGAGAGAGTTGGTATTCAAATTGAGACCTATCCAGAAGCCCATTTCTACATTATGTTGCTGAGGGGTGGAAGAATCATGACTGTATGGGTGAAACTTTTTTAAGAACTCTAAGAGTCAAGTCTTCTTACAAGAATTACTTGTTTAGAAGATGGAATTTTAAACCACTATTCATTAACTGGAACTTTCTCTGCATGTCCTCAATATGTCAGGCACTCTACAACAAAGATAAATATTAAGACTGTTCTTCTACTCCAAGAGTTCAATCTAGTCAGAAATAGGCGCATAATAGAGGTTATGTACATGGTAAAACCTAATATGTAAAAAAAAAATCTACCTACTCCCCTCCCCTATAACTCTGTGTATTTGTGGTAAGAACATAATGATGTTTATACCTAAAGGTAATTTGGTATTTAAAGGAAGACTATGAAGACAACGTTTGTAAAGCCACCCAGAGAACCTTTCTGTAGCTTGGATTCAGTAGCCTAACATTCAAGCCTCACCTTCTCAAAATCTACTTCTTCTAACATCTTTCTCTTACTAAAAGTACTACTTTTCCAGGTGCTTGGCCTTAAAGCCCAGGTATGTTCGTTGTTCTTTCACTCACACTCAGTCAGTGGTCACCATATTCTATCTCATTTCCCTTTCCCCGGACACTCAGTGATTTACACCACTGTTAGCTTCCACCTGTAATAGTACCAGAGCTGCCTAACTTGTTTTGGTTTGGGTCTAGAGGTTCCCCCAAAGCCTCATGGAATCATAGGTGGGTGGCTCTAGAGTATGTGATGCTAAGATTAAGGGCGTGTGATTACTAAACCACTACGTGAATGACTGATTTGGCACCGCCCTAAACCCGGTAGTCCGAATAAGATAAAGGAGCAGAAGGACACTGTTAAACTTCCTTGCTGCTTTTGCTGCTTCCATCGCCATGAGCTGTTGCCCCTCTGCCATCCCTGCTTTGGAGCCAGCAGATTATAGACTGAAACCTCCACAAACTATAAGCCAAATAAACCCTTTCCTCTTTAACTTTGGATGTCAGGTATTTTGTCTCAGCAATGAGAGAAAAGTAATTAACACAGCTGTCTTGTCCCCAGTGTCCTACTCTTACTACAACCTAGATGATACATGATGTTGGGTATGATCTGGGATGTTTTCTTCCCAAATCACCCACCTCCTCCAACACTATTTAATTGAGCAAAAAACCTTCTGTAGGGAATATTTCAGGCCCTCTATGATTTCAAAGCCACCTGACACCTATCACCCACAGCTCAAAATGACTGTTTTCGATGATCCATCATACTGTTCTACTATGTGGAATATTCTTTTCTTCTCTTCTGATTCTCGAAATACTGCCCATGTTTTAAGGGATTACATAAATACAACCTCCTCCTTGAAGATTTTCTTCTTCCTTTCATTTCCATCATGTTACCAGGTGTGATCTAGTAATCTGTTATATTTAACAAACATTTATAAAATTCTTGTGATTGTGCTTGGTGCTGTACGCATAAAGATATACAGTCTACTACAAAATAGCTCAAAATCTGGAGAAATAGTAACAAAAATTATTAAAACAAACTGTAAGCTTTATGAGGAAAAAATTGTACTCTGTAAGAGAAGTACAAAGTACAATTAACTGTGAATATAAAAGAAGGCTTCTCAAAAGAAGTAGCCCATTTACTTATTTTCCAGTACTACGGATTGCCAGGTCTCGGGCTGTTTCTTGAGACAGGGTCTCGCTAACTTACCCAGGCTGGCCTTAAACTTGTGATCCTCTTGTCTCAGCTTCCCAAGTAGTTGGTATTACAGTGATGACACCCAAGAAATGGTTCCTGAATTGATTCTTTGCAGATGACAGATGATAATTGCAGTGAGGAAGGAAAGAAGTAAGGAATTTCAGGCTGAAGACACAAAACGAGCAGAAACTAAAGATCCTCCTGATTCTTTCACTGGATTATGAAATGGTAGAGTTGCTCAAGTTCTCTCTGGGCCCTCACCTCCCTATACAATTTCTCAGGGACCATGGCTTCAGGAGCTACCATATTCAGTTTGTGACCTCGATTGTTTGATGAGAATTGAATCAAACTCAGTGGTTGGTTTGATATTGATCTTATGGAGAAATTTGCTTTAGTTCCAGTCCTGTTCAATTTGTAACCAGAATTGTGGAGAGAACTGAGTTCGTGAACTAAGGTACTGTACCTCCCTCTCCTAGACCTTACTTCTAAAATAAAGAATATTTCAAACTCATTAAATGACCAATTAAGTACATCTAGATCTTAAAATTTTAAACAATATTTTAAATTGCTAAAGCTAGATTTTTATAATCATCTTTAAAAGGAGTATTTCTATAGAAACAGAACTTTCTTAGAGTTAAAGCCAATATTCTTAACTTTGAAACCAATGCTTTGGAATCCAAACCACTTATTTTAGAGGTAGAACCACATAATAAGGGATAAAATAAATAGTTATCCCCCAAAAAGGTAGGTAAGAAGAATTCAAGATCCCTTTAGTTTGATATTAGTCACACACTAGACAGTCTTTTTACATTTTCCCTCAAGTCATGAAGCTTCCATGTTTTACTATGCTGATCATTTCAATGTTACACCATAGTTTTTCCTTTAGAATATGACCATGCCCATTTTATTTCCTTTATAAATATATTCCATTAACAGTGAGAATAGTGCGAACAGAAAGACTCAAAGTGAACCCAAATGAAAATTCATAATAGTCATCAAATTTAAATAGAAAAAATATCAAGTATTTGAAATCCATATGCATCAATGGAGATTTGTTTTTGCTTCTGATCCCCCTTTTATTCCTACTTCCAAGTTTTTTCCTTTGGCATATGCAAACGTGTAAATTCTCAATGTAGGCACTGTTGGAATACTAGTTGTAAGATCAAGTTGAATGCTTAAATTCACTTTTAAGCAAAGATTTCTGTCTTAGAATGTATAACTACATACAGTACTCAGCCCAGCACAGTGACATATACTTGTAATCCCAGAATTGAAGGAAGCAGAGGCAGGAAAATCAAGTCCCACCTGGGGCAACTGTGAAAGACACTGCCTTAAAATAAAAAATAAAAAGAAGGCTGGGGATGCAGCTCAGTGGTAGAGCAGTAATAAATAAATGCATCTGCCAGGTGTGGTGGCACACACCTGTAATCCCAGCACTCAGAAGGCTGAGATAGGAGGATTGCCAGGAGTTTGAGGTCAGCCTGGACTAATTAGTGAAATCAAGGCCAGCCTGGACTACATAGCTAAACCTTGTCTCAAAAAATTCATGATCTATTATGATCAGACATTTAAATACCTGGGTTCAATCCTCAGGTACTGCAAAACAACCCCAAGTAACAACCTTCAAACTGTCATGCTCTAAACACACAAAATTTTACAGAGAAATATTTTACCATCCTCCATGTTACAACAATGTCCTAGCCTTAAGGGAAAGAAAATCCCTAATGGAAGAATGAATAATTCACTTTCAAAAATACAAAATGCTTTTCTACTGAGCTTTCAAACTGTAAGTTAATCGATTTAAACCCAGTGAACAAAATAATATTTTTCTGTCTCACTTGTACAAATGACTTTATTAGTGGATGTGCACTGCAGGCAATAATTCCATGTACTATTAAGGGGCTATGCCCAGAAGAAAGAAGACAAGGCCTCTGAACTTTGGGAGCTCAGAGCTTGAAGGGCTTCTACCCCGCATTTAGCAGGTAAAGCAATTCTTATTTGGTGTAAGTTGTTTATATACCCACTTAACTCTCCTAAATTATAGAGTGATGGAAGATATGGAGCATATATTATTTTTCCTTGTAGCTTTCCCACAGCAAGCACAAAGCCTTAACTGCAACGTGATCCCATTTGTATATAACTTTGGAGTGCAAACTACAGGAAGAAATGTATAAATATTCTGGTAATCATCCTTCTTGGTATCACAGGGTGGCAAAACGTTAGGTGATCTTTATCTTCCTTCTATTTTTGTAGAATACTTTTTTGGATTCTTTACAATGGTATTTATTTAAAAATCAGAGAAAATTACTTTCATGGGGGTGTGTCCTGATAAGTTTTATGAATAACCACTAGATGTTATATTAAGAAGCTATATACATGAAATGTTGATCACACAAATTTAAGAAATTATATATTCTTTGTTTCCCCTGGTAGCAGGCATTGAACTCCGGACCTTACAGTTGCCAGGCAGGCCTGCTGCTAACTCAACTAAATCCCCAGCTATATATTGTTAAACAAACAAATTACACTGTAATAGCTAGTAAGGCCATATCAATACACAGAATAATTATTTTAATTGCTTAAAGCTGTTACCAGTTACTTTATCTTCCAGATTCTTAGTTTTCCCAAGTGTAAATTAAGGCTAACAATACCACTACATGTCATTATAGTCATGTAAGTAACATGAGATACAGCTGTGAACATGTAGCACATCCAGCTTAGTGTTGTGAACAAACGGACTCTCAAAAACTGTTCCTAGCCAGGCAGGCGTGATGGTGCACAGCTGAGATCCCAGTACTCAGGAGGCTGAGGAAGGAGGATCACTAATTGTTTGAGACTGGCCCAGCCTGGGCTACATAGTGAGTTCAAGGCCAACCTGGACTACAAGGGAGACTCTGTCTCAAAAAAACAAAACAAACTAACAAAAAACTGCTCCTTATCCTATCCCATCTGCCCCAGCAGTTAAAATTTGTCACTGAGTTTTAGTATTAGCACTTAACATTAATTATGTTGTAAAATAAAACTATGTTCCAGTTTTGATTTCTGAACATTACTTGGTTGCTTTTCCAATATATGCTAAAAGAGTGTTTAACAAAACAGGAACTCTTAGTTTACGCACTCTTACAATAAGCAGTAATAAATAAATGCATGTACTGATAATAATCAGATATATGATTACCAAAGAAGCAGCCATCACCTACTAATCAGCATTATCAGAAAAAAGTTCTAATATTCCAGCTAAAGCCTACAGAAACTTAGTGTCATCTTGTGGTGGATGACTATGAGGTACTTATTCATTAATATATTATTTCCTGTAGAATAAATGTGCCAAAACAGCCCTGTGAACTCCTAGAAACTAGAATGTTTTTCTCTTTTACACACTCATCACTGTATAAACACCCTCCCCAAAATTAGGATACTTAAGTAAAAAGAAGGAAAAACATCACCTTTAACCCTACAATCAAATAATGCTAGCTGTTAACCATCTGGTGACATTCGTATGTACATACTTCCAATTTTTAAAAACCATATATGTAAAAGCATATAATTTATATACATACATGCATATAGCTGAATCACCACCTTTAAATATATATTTTCCAAATTCCATGTCAATAATTTTCAAATGAAATTGAGTTTGTATTATAAATTCATAAAGTCAACATTTTAGTTAAAATGAAAATTGGACAATGAATAATAAATGCTGTTTAAAAATTCATGCCTTAAGGAAAAATTCCACTACTCTCAAGATTGACACTTAAAGCAGCACAAAAGTTATTGCTTATTTTGCAACCCAAAGTGATAAACTTCAAAGTAGATTAAATTTATTAGAATTTGGGGATAAATTTTAAATTTATGACTATAGATATCAAATATTACTTTTTAAATACTGTTTGATCACCAAAACTTTTAACCATTTTCTACATACTTTTTTATGTCATATACTATGCTATTTTTGAAGAAGTTTTAGCAGTTGCAATATAAAAATACTTAGGGAGGAGCTTTATTATGAGTCTGATGCACTACCTACTGTGCTAATGAGGTTCCCAGGAGCTTTTTTAATTAAAAAGAGAAAATTATACTAGTTAGGGAAAATGGAGTACTCAGCCTCAGTGATTCATTTCTCTCTGGGCTTCCTAGTAGCTAAAGTAAAAAAAAGAAAATACCTCGGTTATATAAGTCTGCTACAAGATAAAAGTACATACAAATCCAATGGGAAAGGCAAACATTTTCTTAGGACTGAATACTATTAGGAATTTGTGAAGGTTCTGACATAAATGAGTAATAACTAATGTAATTAAAACTATCTGACCATAATTTGAGGGAAACAACGTTCTATTGTCCCTGTTAAAATGTCCCAGCATAACACTGTACGACATTATAGAATACAAGATTTCCATTATCTATTAGCAAATACTAGATATCTATCAACTACCAGACTCATGAATCCTCTGTGTCTTAAACAAAGTGTATTATACTATGGAGTAGAGAACTTATCTCTATGATCTACACAGCAGATATGCAAACAACACAGCTTTTTCTGCAAAAAATCAAGAACCAGGGCCGGGGATTTGGCTCAGTGGTTCCACCACCTGCCTCACAAGCACAAGACCTGATTTCAATGCCTGGTACCAAAAAAATTCAAGAACTTGACATATCTCAACTTCCATAGTGGGTATTCTACAGAGAAAACTGTTTTAAAAAAAAGGTTACCTTTGCTGTTGATATACTTTCAATCTCTTCAGCACTGTAAGAAAGACTCAAATAAGACCTTCAAAGTAGCTCTATTACACAGGAGGGAAATTTTGATTTTTGAAAAACACTGAACAGCTTTGTCAGTGTATTAGGAACAACTCCACTGTATGAAAAAGCATATTCAAATGTAAGTAAGCCCTCCAAAAGGTATTAGGTTAGTACTATTTTATAAAAGTGCCTGACAATGAAATTTTCAAATGACCAGGTATATACTAAATCTAGCAATTGCATTTAGCAGGATTTGAACAAGTATGCACAATGTGGGATCTTTTTCAAAGCCATTTGTTTAGCAATCTGAATCTTATGCACAGAATTAAGAGTGAATAAAAAAGATCAACAAAGAAAATCTTTG